TGGTTTGTTGTTAAACGCCGCACTCAGCAATATTCCAGCTATATGGCGGCGGAATATAAATAATCGAGTCTGGACCAGACAATCCAGTGATTAATGTCATGAGCATCGATCCGCGCAATTGGGATCGATCACATGCATCAACCAAGTCAGCGAGTCTGACCACCCGATCCCGTTAGTCGCCTTTTACGACAAGCATAGTCACCTTTTACGGCAAGCATGGGTTGCTGAAGACCTATTCTACCCCGGAATCTTCACGTGTCCCGGGACAAATAAGCAAAGGTGTACATACCCTCTCAAAAGGGCAATAATTTTACACTTTAACCCCCCTCAAAGATTCAGCCACTTAAATCTTCTTTGATAATTTTATACGAAGCCTGTGTATCCGAATTAATGATAAATTCTACTTCTTCTAAAAAGCAAATTATTTAATGAATGATGCCATTTTTTTAATATGATCCTCCACAAACGACGATTTGAAACATTTATCCCTTGTGAACGAAAAAACAACATAGTACATGCTTGGAATACAGACCGGAGGATCCTCACCGTTCTACCCCGTGAAGATCCGGGGTAGGAAAGGTCTTCAGCAACCCATGCTTGCCGTATAAGGGGACAATGCTTGTCGTTAAAGGCGACTTACGGGATCGGGTGGTCAGGCTCGCTCACTTGGTTGATGCATGTCATCGGTCCCAAATGTGTGGATCAATGCTCATGATGTCAATCACTGGATTGTCTGGTCTAGACTCGATTATTTACAGACCGCCGTCATTTAGCTGGAATATTGCTGAGTGCGGCGTTTAACGACAAACAAACAAACTCACTGTTAAAAAAATTAACATATGAATAACAAGAATGTACAATAGGAACTCGTCGCAAAATGACCTCTTCAAATCTAGACTGACAATCCAAATATGTGTAACCGAAAGCTGGTTTAACTGTAATGTAATCATACCTTCTTGGATTCTCTTGTGTCAGACCTAGAATTACAGGATTTTAGAAGTGTAACAGATTTGTTGAGTAATGCTTTTCCTGTAGCACCAGCCATTGTATTACCAATAATACCAACATGGCTGTTTAACAAATAAAACAAGAGTTTGCAACTAACGTAGCTATATACCCCGCCCCTGTTGCAGAAATTATGACATAATTAAATCTAAACAAACCCTAACCTGTTTTAACCGAGGTGGAACTTGTCATGGAAATTGTAAAAAAAGAAGTCCATCTTGCTGCCATGGAAACGTAAAAAAACAAAAAATTCTAAAATTTCTAATTGCAAAAGGCACAAGTTCAGCATGTACCTGACAAACCTGCAAAGTGTGATGAAAAAATATTGAACGGTTTATGAGTTATGCTCCGGAAACGAACAATACTCTCGCAGAATTTAAGTCCATCTTGTTGCCATGGAAACGTAAAAATTAAAATTTATAAATAGCAAAAGGCACCAGTTCAGGATGTACCTGACAGACCTGAAAAGTTTGATGAAAAAATATTGAACGGTTTATGAGTTATGCTCCGGAAAGGAACCCTACCCTCACAGAACCTAAGTCCATCTTGTTGCCATGGAAACGTAAAAAATAAAAATTTCTAAAATTTCTAAATAGCAAAAGGCACCAGTTCAGGATGTACCTGACAGACCTGCAAAGTTTGTTGAAAAAATATTGAAAGGTTTATGAGTTATGCTCCGGAAAGGAACCCTACCCTCACAGTACCTAAGTCCATCTTGTTGCCATGGAAACGTAAAAATTAAAATTTCTAAATAGCAAAAGGCACCAGTTCAGCATGTACCTGACAGACCTGCAAAGTTTGATGAAAAAATATTGAACGGTTTATGAGTTATGCTCCGGAAGCGAAACGTGACGGACGGACGGAGCCCGTTTCTATATCCCCAGCCATTTTTGTTGGGCGGGGGATAAAAACGATGTCGTATTATCCAGCAGCAAAATTATGATGTAATTCAACAATTTCAAGTTAACATTTAGGTGAACATGATACATTATTCATTTCCTTAAGGCACGATACAGTCTAAAAACATTTAAACTGCTTATGCTTAGATTGTTTACCGGTACATTTGAGAGCTGTTACAATGGCATTTGATTCTGCAGTTAAAACTACTGTCTGGTAGTCTTAGTAATATAGTTCTGGATCCAATAACAGTGGCGCATCGCAATTATTGGATCCGTCTGTAAATAAAGACGTGTCATACGTGTTTCTTAACTGATTCTATTCTTCTTGATGAGTAGAATTGAGTTGTTTTGAAGATTACTCTGCCAGGTCCCTACATGGAGATGGTGGCACTATGAAGCCATAATCGAGTTAAGGGTGGATGGGCGCAGTTGGAGGAGGGTTTTCTGACCCCCTCCCCACTTGGAATTTAAAACTATTTGTAACAAGGCAAAACGTGAGCATGGCCCCCGACTGCACCTCTCCTGAACTGTATCTCCAATTGGAAAAAATGCATAAAGTAGGTTTAAAGGTATAGGTCGCACAAATGTTAGAGTACAAAATACTTCTAAGTTCAAAATGTGAGAAAAATTCATACACATCATATATCATATCAAATTTTGCACTGCAACTTTCCTATGAGTGTAGAAAGTGTTCGATAAATTTGAGACTATGCTAAATGAGATTGCCAATTTGGGTTAAGAAAGTCCCATCAAGTGGCATCTGCAATATATATTCTGGTAGGTGATAATATTTTAAGCAGAGGTCAAATGTTGTGACCTTTTGACCTCTGGTGACCTACATTTTTACTTTATTAGTCCTATATTACATACCAACATGTAGAGCATCAGGTTACCAACATTTTGAGTGGTCATACTTCACCATATGACTCAATTGTTTGTAAAGTTATTCCACTTTCTGGTTTTCCCTACCCTGAAATCTAGTCCCGTGGATTGGACTCTGGGGTCACCCTTTATGTAGTGATTACTACCACTAAGCTGTGCGTCCCGGATTGCTTTCAGAGTTTTTGTTCCATCTATGGATTGATATAAAAAAATCATACTGAGATTTTGCCATTCCAGGTGGTACCAATATCTGGTCTGGCTCATGGACTAACTGTCGTAAGCCGTTTAGTCGAGAAACATGCTCAGAACGGTGACGTACAGGACCATCCCAGATCTCCTGTGATGACACATCGCGAAGACAGGGGCCTTCTTTATCCATAAGCCGAGATCCCTTTTTTAACAAGTACTCGTCTGAAACAGCTGTGGTTGCCCAATCGTCGTTTCAGCACCTGACCGTCAGGGAGGCCGAAAGCAGCAGGACTGAGGGCTAGACGAGTCATAAAGCCTCCCTTGTTGAGAGATCACCACAAAGCTTCTCGTTTAGCATGGTTTATTGCGCGACAGAACTGGAATCTTGGGAGACGGATCCATTGGTCAGACGAAAGTCACTTTCTGCTCCACGTTACTGATGGAAGAACAAGAGTTTGGAGGTACCGGAACACGGCCTACACCCTCAGGAACATTAAACCGACTGTTGCATACGGCGGGGACTCGGTAATGCTTTGGGGTGTATCGCTCATGATTGCAGGTTGGATTTGGTCACCATAAGGGGCAACTTAACAGGGACGGGACATCCGGGACGTTTTGAGACAAGTCGTCGTTCCTCATTTTGACAACCACCCTCTTGCTACTCGACCTCAGTACATGAATAACATGTGGTAAATTGCTTTATTTTAATGTTGCGTTTAAAAAGGGGGGCCCATAAAATCTAATAGTTCGTCACTCAGTTACTGCAGCTTTGGCATTCTTTATCGTGTTAACCGTGGTCAAAGGGGAAGCAACTCTATGTCAGCACGTCTTTATATGGTATTTCAGCTATGGGGTTCTCATCTTTGTCTTCTTGAGCCTCGCCTTTTGACAGTAAAAGCTTTGAGTGAACGTCAACTATAATCTTTCTGTTATTCTTCCCCACAGGTAAATACCACATCAATATACATACATAAACATTTATTATAAGTCCAAGGTTCTATATATGTAGGTGATAGGTTTGTACAAATTGTGAAAGCGTTAGACTTCATTGTATATATTCTTTAAGCCATCAAATACTATTATTATATATGAATGTTAGATATTTTTTTTGTTTCCCAGGAGTATGATTAGTTGTTAATTAGTCAATCAATTCATCTTAGTTCCACGTTCAATGGTCTATATTAGTCGGCATGTTAAGCCAGGGGTTATCATCCTTCCGCTAGGGGCGCTGAGAGTTTCAAGATGGCTGCGCCCATGTGTAAACAATTGCTCCGAGTGTTTTCATCTCTTTTAACTGTTCTTGGCATGTGTAGGAAGGAAGTTGTTCTGTATTTGGAATTATATTTAATTGACAGTAGTATACCAAGGAATAAGCTTAAATATTCGTTGATCTAGGGATAATTGCAAGGAATTTCTGGAAATAGTATCTCATCGTCATGATAAACAATAACAGCCTGTGTGAAATGGGTCATCTCCTGTCAGAATCTGTTGATTGTTTTAGTTTCGAAATTTATTGTTAAGCACGAAAGTGTTGTTTAAATGTTACTTTTTATACAAACAAGATAATTAATAATCAAGTTGATATTGGAATATTAAAGTAACTGCATAAGACTGAATCAGTATTGTTACCTTGTAGTTGAGCATTACAAAGATGCATATTCAGTGTCTTGATAATCATTAATATGCCAGTCATTTCTGGATTATCTTGTCTGTAATACACAGTGGTTGTTCCAATTGAATTGTAGTTACTTTATAGTTTTTTATAGTTGCCATTCGGTAATTGCCATGTGCTCTTGGTGCACTTTGTGTACTTTCATTAAGTAAATATACCCCTAGACAACAAGCAATAAAAGTATATAGATTGTAGTACACACTACACAATGTTATCAACATGTAACCAATTATTTGTGTAACCGTTGGGCGATACATATGTTGAATGATCTTTGTCTTCATGGGGTCGCCATTTTGACAGTAAAAGCACTGAGTGAACGTCAACTATAATCTTTGTGTTATTCTTCCCAACAGGTGTCTTGGGCTGCATCTCACCTTGCTTCCAGGCAAGGAGAACAATTTTGGGGGCTCGTCCAGGATGCGAGATGACTATGTCCTACACTCAAGGGGTAGAACGTTACTGAGGCCGCTGATGGTGAAACGGGACTGCAAGAGATCCATCAACTTTGGAGAAGGGGATGGAAGCCATGTTTGACGTTGTCCATGTCTCGAGTTCCTGAGTCTTGTATGCAGGATGAAAAAATTGGTAACCATGGCAGATGAGGCCATATACAGAGCCAAGGGACTGCCGTATGGACTATCAAAGGAACAACTTTGTCATCTTGCACTGACACTACAACTACAAATCAGCGAACCTGAGAAACTGACCTCACCTGACCTGAGGAGTTCATCGCAAATGCTGTTAAGGAGGAAGACCATGGTAGGGCTGTTGGGAATAGGATTCAAGCGAAAGCTGAGAAACTTATTGATGTAACCGGCCGCAGTTTTGTAATATCATCTGAAAGTAATGAAACACAACCACCCTCAGTTGCAGCTTGGAAAAGTGACTTCAAGGTAGTTGGGGGACAAATCTCAGACAAAGGAACAGGGATCAGTTGCCAGTCTAGCATGGCAGATTACCACTGGGTTGGAGAAGGGGTACAGTGAGAGGGAAGTGGTGGATGGGGTTATATGGGTTGTCGAGCCTTCAAGTTCACTATGACACTATCCAGATGGTAGGGCAGACATCTCCTTAAATACACTGAAGGGAATCCTGAGATCGCACTTCAAGGAGAGTAGTGTCACGGACTTGTACTCCCAAGTTAGGGCGTTTAGCCCAGGGACCCACTGACGAATCCCAAACCTTCAACTATAATCTTTGTGTTATTCTTCCCCACAGGTGTCTTGGGCTGCATCTCGCTTCCCGACAAGTGTAACACATGGATGACAATGCCAGGCCTCATCGTTCGCATGCAGTCGTGGATTACATGAGGGCCAATGCAATAACATCTACCCCAGCAAGCAATGAGCCCAGATTTGAACCCCCTTGAACATTTTTAGGATATTCTGGGGCGACGCATACAGGCACGAGATCCACCTGTACAAGATTTACGCCAAATGGAAGCAGCATTGCATCAGGAGTGGTTGTTGTTGACCCATCAACAGATCCAACGTGTGACTGTAGGCATGAGACGTTGGTTGGAATGTGTCATCCGGGCACGTGGCGGTTATATCTGCTTCTGATCTGGTTCACGTGTCACGTCAAGTAGAGACTTTAAGGAACATTTTCACATGAAACATCAAACGTAACTCGTTTACTTAATCCTGCAGCTCCATACTATTTTGAGGTATTTTTTCAGGTCAAAAACAGTACCAGTGTTACCATGATGTTTTTGTCAGTAAATTTCAATCACAACTCACCAATATCTTCTTTATTTGTTGTCAATCGTTTATTCTATCCGATGACATTGGTATCGCCCAGCTCCTGTGGTCAGTCGATATGGCTGAAATTCTGCCGATGTGACGTTAAATCATAACTCACTCACTCCTGTGGTCAGTCGTCCCATGCCATGACTTTTGTCATGGTTCAGAAATAGGGGTGTGCTTAACTTTTTTCTTTGTGTATACATTCAACAATAATTAGGCTTAAAACACTGATTGATGACCGTTACATCGATTATGGTAGGGGTATGTGACAGACAGGGGGACAATCACTTCACAGTACTTTAACCTCCTGGACAGAGCCTTCAATAAAGTCAGTAAGGAAAAACATCGCACCAAATTAAAAAAACAAGCAGTTAATTATTTACATATATATATTTAAAATTTATTGTACAGGTAATTTCCTTAAAGTTGCTGATAATGAGATGTTTGCTTACACGGGAAAAGAGATCTTTCAGATTTACTGTTTGATAATGTGAATCCCTTCCGATTGCAAAGTCTTCACAGGCAAGAAATATATGCTCGACGGTGAACCTTTCATCACAAGGGATACACCTTGGGAGGTTCGTCCTCATCTGATTTATTGATTCCTACCTGAGTGTCCCACCTCTTTTACATGAGATCCCGAGTATAACTCTTGATGGTTGGTTTAAAACCGCTCTACGGGATAAGTAGTGGAAATAACGGTTTGTCAAAAGTTACTTTAGCTGCAGCATCGGCTTTTGAGTGACCCGTAATGCCCACATGACTTGGCAACCAGCAAAAGACGATGTCACATTGGCCAGTAGAAAGATCATTGTAAAGTTCTAAAATGTCAAGGATTATGGGACGATTTGAGGAAACACTTTCAAGTGCCTGAAGGCAAGACTGTGAATCTGAAAAGGTGATGAAATCTTCGGATTGCTTTTCATGTTAAATATAGGTCAAAGCTGTGAAGATAGTTTTGGCCTCAGCAGTAAAGATTGAACTATTATCTGGGATTCGTGAGAGACAGTTCTGGATACAATGATGGTGTCACTTGCAACTTTGCCACCTTCCTTTGACCCGTCTGTAACAATGTATCTGTGAGAATCATATTTTGTTCGCACTTGGTCATATGCTTTTTGACAAACCAAAGGATCTGTTTCGGATTTTTTTAGCTGGGTGAGAGTGAGGTCTATCTCTGGCTTCACCATCTGCCAATGAGGAGAAGACGGTAACGTGATATATTATTTCGATCTATTTTAGCTGCAGTGATGAGTGGTTGAATTCTGATTAACGGGATCCGGTGGTCAGGCTAGCTGACTTGGTTGAGGCATATAGGATGCTACCTTGAAAGACGCCCTGATCTTGATCGAAATGATCAGACAGGATAGAACCCTTTTGTACTTGAAATTGTCTGTTGTTTAATTCTGAAATGAATTGGGAAATCTGCCTCTCAATCAAAATTCATGCAAATCTTTTATAATACCTTGTTTCCACGTTCTAGCATATGCCTTCTCTAGATCGAAAAAGATTGATACAGTATGTTGTTTGTTGACAATGAAATTTTAAATAAATGATTCTAAACGCACCAGATGGTCAATGGTACCATGCCTTCCATTGTTTTACAAACACAGCTAGTTCATGACATTGGACGGTAATCGGATGGATCTGTATGACCCCATCCAGGCTTTTAATTAGGAATAATAAAAACATTATGCCACGAAGAAGGGAACTTTCCGGTTGTCCATATTTCATCAAATGTATTAAACAGCGTTTCCAAACTGGGCAAGTGTTTCAGGAGCTGATAATGAATGTGTCGGCTCCTGCTGCAGTGTCATGAGCTTGCCCTTGGGCAGGTTGCAGTTCATGGAGTGAGAATGTTTCATTGCAGTCCTCAACATTATCAGAGTTAAAATTTACCCTTATCTTTTCCTGTTGTTTTTGAAGCATCTGGAATTGAGAATTATAATTTGATGATGAGGAATGATTTGCCAATGTTTCACCAAGCTTGTTGGCAATTCAGATTTACTTGTTAAAGGTGTATTACCATCTTCCAGATTTTGTTCCTTTGCCCTTAATCCAGTGAATATTGTTCCTTATGACCTTGGCCATAAGTATTCGGGAATTGATTTATGATACAAAGTTCCTCCAAGATAAATGTTTATTTTGTTTAAAAGTAAGTATCGCGCTTGTTTTTTTTATTATTCAGGTTGTGGATGGCGGGATGTTGTAGGAAATATTTCTCAGCTTTCTTTCTATTTTTCCTGGCTTGATTACAATTTTCATCGAACCTTAATTTACGTATGTGAGGGTTTGCAATAGACTTTGGAATGCTTTCGTCTCCAAAAGCGTTTAATTGAAAATAGGTATAAGGTGTAAGTGTTTATGCACATAAGTTCCACTTTGTTGCAGGTTGTTCGTCAGAGGGATTGATAGTTGTAGTTAAAGTTTAACGTCGCATCGGCATTATTTCAGCCATATAGCGACGATTGATAGCTGTAAGCGACGATTGATAGTTGTAAGTATTGTTGGAAAATGGTCACTTCCACAACGGTCATCATGAACCGACCATTCAAATTCGTTTAACATATTTGAATCTGTAAAGTCACATCGACAATATTTAAAAGCTGTTGTCGAAGGACAGTACAACAACCAGCAATATATCAGACTATAATGTTAAAATTAGCTTAAGAACTATAAAAAGATCGGAATTTGACCGACAACACATTGTAAAAAGAGGCCAAAAACAACGAACGTTAGGTCACCATACCAGGGACCAAGGGGACATACAGTACCTTTGCTACCAAAATTCCTTTTGTCATTGGCGATTGTTGAAAGATTAGCCATAATTTAAAATATACAAATATATTGCGGTAATAACTGTGGTCTTACATACTCTCTCAGGGAAAGATCAAGGGCAGAGTATATGCCAGTGGCAGGATTCCGATACTTATTAGATCCATCTTTGAAGATGCATAAATCATTGTGAGAGATATAATCTTCAGGGTCTTTTCCCTCATTATTTTTATCAGTACTCCCCCCATAAGGGATTATGACCATTTAAATCGCCCATAATGATACAGGGCTTCGGGAGCTGATCATACAGAGTCTGAAGATCTGATGGGCGGATAGTTGAGGAAGGTTGACGATGCAGTGAACATGAAATAAACACTACGTTCAAAGTAACACGGACAACAATAGTTTGAAGAGTAGTGTTGGCTATGGATTATGCTCTGCTTCACCAGGATGGAGGAGAAAACGAGTGGATCTGTGGGTTATTTTACGTATGTTTCTTGGAGACAAAAAAATGACGGGTTTAAATCTTGAATTAAAATTCTTCTTAAGTCCTCTGCAATTCCATTGTATTCATGGTGGTGGTGCTTCCACAGGTGAAATGTCTCGCGAACATAAAGAAGACTTTGTGGTATTCCTATTATTGTCATGTGGTACTCCTATTATTGTCATGTGAGATGGCGCTACCTCCATGTCCAGAGGACCAAAGGAGTTATGGAGGACCTCTAAAGGAGAAGTGGACTGTGATGTTAGAGTTTGAATTTCTTTCTGCTGCTTTTATTATTTTCTCCATCTTTGTCAGATGAACAATTTCAGCTTCTGATTTTGGCGTCTGCAACTCGACATGTTTAACAGTTTTGGGTTTTGGAGTGTCATAGCTGGTTTTTGAAATGAAACAAAGAGGCTGGACAGACTTGACTCATGTCAGATCAGTCTGGCAGTCAATATAGGCAGTGGTTACAAAAGGACAACAGACAGTAGCAGAGTAAGAGATAGTTGAAGTGGTTGCAGTAGAAC